GATGCTATTCCTTAGAAAAGCACAGAGGATTGTTGCAACAGAGAAAAACATTTTCAGATACTTAATTACCTAATGCTTAAAAATACATCATTTAATTTATTGAGGCACCTATTCTCCCTTATTATCTATGGCATCCCTCAGAAGTCTACTTCAAGAACACATTACTCATGAGCAAGTGCCAGAATAGCCAAAGAAAAATGGTATAATTTATTCATGATACCTTGTGCTTTCTGGCAAGGAAGAACTCGTGACCTCTAGAGTGAAGCTGAAAATCTTGTTGCTTTCAGTTATCATTAACAGATTATCTCAGTCAAGGGGCTGCCCTTGGAGGAGCTGGGCCCTACAGGAACATACTGTAAAAGACAACCCTTGTTCTGAAGTAAAAGCAATCTACAAAAATGCGAGCAATAGTGAGAAGACAATCAGGGCACAACAAAAGGAGCAGCAGTAATTACTTGGATAAGTGAGCACAGTGAGGAGCCCACACACCATCACAAACCGCACGTGTACCTTTAATGAGCTTTGACAGAGGAAGCACTGAATGACTGGCCAGCAGATTACCAGCTTGACTGCTGCCGTGTGAGAGCTTATTTTGGACACCATGAGCAAGAGCAACGTCAGGAGGCAGATTGTGGAGCAGTGGGTTTACCAATTCCTTCTAGACATGCAACTGCATGAAAAGTAGAAAGTAATTTTTTTTCATTTCAAGTTATTTGGTGTTTGTTGGAAGACAGGACTAGGAGAACAGAAGCCATGCAGGTTAGCATCATCTGCTCCAGTTTGTTCCAAGCTGAAGCTCTCTAGTAGTTGTAGAGTCAGTGTAAGGGTTTTGCACTAACCTTTCCTAAGTTTGATATTACTATTGGAAAATCACACCCTTTCTACTGATGAAATAGGTGTGTGGTAAGACTTGTGCTGCAACACCTAGATGAAGCTGGTGATTCCTGCTTGTTTTCCTTTTGTATTAATATGATCAAAGAAGAGCAAGTGTTTGTTTTAATAAAACTATAGAAAAAAGTTTTTTAAATTCACTGGCATGATCCTTCTCCTTAGGATGTTCTGAAGAAACTTTGCAACATTTCATCCTTAAAAAATACCTAGGAAGGTAGTATGCTTTAGTCAGAAAATCAGAAACATCTGTTCCCTGTCCCAGATACTTCTCACTGAATTTGGAAGTCCACTGGTGTTTCAGTTAGCCTGTCTCTTCAGCCCTTCACAGACACAAAGAATTGTAATCACAAACCACATTATGCTGTGCTCAGCTTTCAACAGAAGAGAAACAATGCTAGTTGCATTTAAACAGCGTCTCCCAAGCAAATATCTCAGCTGTCCTTGTTTTCAAAGACATCCATCGGTTCTTTCTCAAATGTATGCGTGTTTCTCCCAAATGTGATGACTCTCGTGTTTTACTGTTGAACAGCAGAAATTTAAGACCTATCAACTTTGTTTTCACCCCTGTGCAGTGCCAGGTTCCAGAGCCATGCAGGCTTGTGCACATTTTTAACTCCACATTCAGTGTGAGTAGTTCCACTCACTAGAATTGATCCATGTCTGGATAATATGAAGAATGTGCATAAATCTTCATAGAGGACAGATCTTTTGCAGCAGCAGTTCTGGTTTCCTTCATGAATTTCTCCTTACCCTTAGCAACAGGGCACTGTTATTCAGCAATAGGACAACAGAGTCAGTAGGAATGAACAACATTCATGTTTTCTGTAAGAATCCTTTTCTTATGTGCCACATCTTGAGTTACAGGCTGGGCCTGGGGCTGAAAGCTGTGATACTTCTATTCCTAGCTCCCATGGAGTTACATTGTTTTCTTTTGGAAATAATGGTGACATTACCAACTCTTGCAACCTTATTATCTCACAAATGTTGGTATCTTTCATAAAGCCTCAGTTCTGGGAACCTTGTGACTTTTTTACACAGCAACAAGCTGGATTTCTCTATGGCATCTGTGTATCAAAACTAAAGCCTGACAAAGATTAGAAACAGACATTTTAAACTCACTTTTTTGCAGGCTACAATGGAGATGACAGAGAGTAGGAAGGTGTCCTCTTTTATGCCTCTGGGTGTCTTCATCAATACAGGCAGTTTCCTGACCAGTTAAGCCTTAAGATCCTAATCCTGCAAGCACTTGTACCTGCTCAGAATCCCACTCTGAATGCAAACAGTGTTTTCTGGAAATTCAGGTGGCACAGGTTCTCACAGTCACCAGCCATGACAGTGGCAGTGTGGTGGCCACAATGGGTACTGCTGAAGGGAAGACCACAGCCCATGTGGATCATCCATCATGGTAAATCCATGCCTGAACTTCAGCAAATTTTCATGGACTGTATTTTTGAATGGTCCTCTCTGATTGCTGCAAATACATTGGGTTTGCATCAGTCACTGACCATCACCAAAGATGGGAAAGGGCACCCACAATAGGAAACAGGGAGCCAGAAAGATTTCCAAGAACAGAAGACAAACTGCAGTAACAGGCAAAGCACGTTAAGGAAGGAGGTGCTAGCAGGACTTTTTCCACCCTAAGAAATTCTTGCTTTTTAGGGCTTTGGTGTGGAGATGTATATTAGGCCAGTATGGGCATGTATAGTCTCTCTGAACTCTTAGAAAGACTGTGCTACATCCTACACGTATGCCCTCTCATGTGGTTAATACCTGTCATGGCATGGTAGGGCAGCTGCCTGTCCTCGTTTGGGAAGCACAAGGATTAGCTTAGTGGCTCTGAATCTTTCCATGTGAAACAGCTATTAGGCAGCTTCTGGGCAAAACCTTCTTGCTGGCCTGGTGTATGTTTGCTTCTAGGCTCTCATCTGCTATAAACCAGCACAAAAGCACCCAGGTTTCTGATTCCACGGGCTCCAACCCCACATCTTGACATGACAGTGCTCTGCGAGACTCTGAACAAAAACGTCAGAGGGCTGAGGAAAGGAGGAGTTCTGGGGCCTCTCCAGAGGTGAGAGCTGATCCCGTTTGCCGAGGAACCCTACCATGCCACTGTGGGGTCCTGTGGTGGTGCAGGGATGCCCAGCTCAGCTGCCACGGGCTGGGCTGTGCCAGCAAGCTCTGTGACCACGGCAGCCCCAGCAATGGATCCCAATAGCTGATGTGTTCACCATCCACCCCGGGCTACC